TGTGTGAGTGTCACAAAAGTTGTCTTAGTATCAGGTAAATGGAGAGCCAGGAATTACTCACAGGTTAGGGTTGAGAATTGAGCTCCATCATTCTCTTTCTTCCATTTGTATTTCAGGAACTTGAATTCTTAGTACTGAAATTGCAGAAGTAAGACCAGTTTTTTATTCAGTTATTTTACCTACATTGCTTTAGCCTGGGAGTGAAAAACAAAGCAGCACAGTGAAAGTAACAAAGAGGCCAATTGAGAGTCACTGCATATATGGAAAGTAAGTCTCCTGCAGAACCACAKGCAACAATGCCTGGCACAGAATATTATAGTCACACCACCCAGGCATTCACWGGCTGGTGTCAGTGTCATACTGACCTGAAGTCATTGTTGCACACATAGAGAAATTGTTGTTCAGTTGTTTTCTCTGTAGATGATGCTGCGTCTTAATTCTGTGCTGTCATAACATCGTTTTATATAATGCATTTGACAGTGTAATAAGTAATATGTTTATGCCTCCACAAGGTGTCGACAAGGTGTCGCTTCTTCTGCAACAATGACTCTCTTGCGCCTGACAATGACATTTATTTGGTTATTAATCAATTCAATTCAATTCGATTTTATTTGTATAGTGCCAAATCATAATATACATTATCTCAAGGCACTTTACATAGAAGGTGAAGACCTAAATATTATAGAGAAACCCATCAGTTCCCACAATGAGCAAACACTTTGGCAACTGTGGAGAGAAAAAAACTGATATGAGATCATGATCATGAATCATGATAAATKTGTGTCTCATAAACTCCAGGGTGAATCAAACAAACACAAAGTAAACCTCAGTGCTGYTCATGTTCTGATAATTCCTGGTTAGTTTTTGCATTTATTGTTAACATGTAAAGTGAGCGTAGATCAGTGGTGGAGTGACGAGGGAGGACATGCGGCACGGTACAAGGATGCTGGACCTATAATTTTAGGAGTGACAGGCCTCTGCTGCAAAATTAAATTAGCAGTAACCCTGCCTACCTAATACTGAACATAGTATGATTTTAAAATACATTTTAATGTCAATTAGAAGTAACAAATACTTTTTTAAAGATTTGTTACAGAGACCCTCCCAGAACTTTGCTGTTGAGGCTTTCAGGGGGTCTCAAGTATCAATCAAGGGGTCTTGGACCCCCAGAGACCCTCTGTATGTCGCACCCAGGTTCTCTCTCTCTCTCTCTCTTTATATGCTAGCTCTGTGATGGGTGTGCCCCACCTCTCACTTAGCTGGAATTGGATCCAGTGCCCCTTGCAACGCTCAAAGTATAAGCCTTAWAGATGGATGAAATGGTTAGATGACAAGTGGTCACAGGTCCAAAGTCCAATAGTGAATRGTTCGAAGATGACACAGATGCCTTTGTTCATGTGAAGGCTGAGAAAAATTGTTTGGGGAAAATCTTTGGGAATCATTCACACAACACAATATCTTAAATTAGATACTTAAGTTGTAGTCGGGTGTCAAGAATCTTACAGCCTTAAAGGAATAGTTCACCAAAAAATGAAAATTCACTCAKTATCTACTCACCACTATGCCGATGGAGGGTGGATAAAGTGTTTGAGTCCACAAAACACACARTCATTTAAACCAATGTTTTGGCCTAAATGTCCTCTGATAGCCTCCTCAGACACACCACAGTGTGGCTACGTTCACTCGCATCGCCACTTCTGATAGTGGACATTTAGTGTGATAGTGTAAATGACCTAATTTCGAGTCACATATGCCTGTCGAGTTTGCGRATACTTGGATGACACCACACAAACAGTGTGGAGGCATTTTATGTATTTTTGGTTGTTWTATTATGTCTGAAGAGGCCACCTGGGCTCAAACACTGTTTAGCCCTAAAACTCCTTAAAGKTACAGTGTGTAGAATTTTGTGATATCGAGTGTTGTTGTTTTCACTCGTTCATTTCATCTAAATTGTATGAATTGTAGTTTTCTGTACCTCAGAAAAGGTCCTTTATATGTAAATACTTTATATTTACATGGAGGGGGTCCTCTCTACGGAGGCCGCCATGTTTTTTTACATTAGTAAACAAACTAAACACCTTTTGAGTTTTTATGACAACTGAAGCTACCACAGGTTCTTTTTCATGTTTGGAAGGAGAGGGTGAGGTGAGGGGTGTTCAGCTGCAACATGCAACTTCAACACTAGATATCTCAAAATTCTACACACTGAACCTTTAAGTGCCAAAAAATATTCTTAAAAAATGTAATAAATAAATAATATTGAAAAACTGCACTTCGGACCAGGTTTCTGTTGGTCAGCAGCATAATCACTTTCTGAAAGTGTCAACATTGTGCCTGCCACACCTCATTGAAAGAGCTGCAAACCCACTGCACATTGGCGCTCAGATGGGCACAAGTCCATTTGCTATTTGAACAACGAGGACGCTTGAGGGAAAAATGACTTTGACAATGAAACGAGCATTCTGAAASGTGCAGTAAAACCAATAAAAGGTTTGAGTATAAGCATTTGTTCTTGTCCATTTGTGCTCCAAGCACCTCAAATAGACGAGCATCACATTGTAAACCGTGACTKGCTTCACTCRGTTTTCCCAAAGCATGCGGGTCAGTCAGTGCGGTCAGATGATGACATGTCACTGGACAAAAAATWKRATTTGTAATCAAGTACCAAGAGTAAGTGGGGAAGCTAATTTGTCCTAGAAGAGCAGAATAAACTCCTCAGCGCCTGCTAATCTGCTCTGCTGCTGCAACCCAGTTATTTATTCGATTCAACTACTTTTTCTGTCTTCCTCCCTCTGCCATGTTGTGTTCTGCCACTTGATTCCAGTTTATCTAGGTCAGACCGTTCTTTCAAAACTTATCAAAAACTTAATTTTATTTCAGTTGTATTACTGTCAAGCTTCGTACAGTAGCCGAGCTTCACAGTTTGTTTATCGTCTGATGCAATGATATGATGCAACCTGACAACTCCTCCATTAGAGGTGAGAAGTCTCTGGTGCCTCGGCTGCTCTGGTGGTACACATGAGCTCTACTTGTTCCCAAGGCAAACAAACTTTCCCACTTAGCACGAGACAATTATGTAATGTTTATATCTGAAAAGTTTCTGATGAAGTTACAAACTTAAACATAAAAAAACACAGATGAGCTGACGGCAATGTTGACGACAGAAACAACTGTGGAAGAGTCACAGTCGTTTGTGCTTCTAACAAATCACACTTTCAACAGGAAGTCAAAAGCAATCAGTTTTTATATTAAAAAAAGCAAATATGTGATTAATATAATGACAATGTCCGATAATATTGATGTGACTGAACACTCATACATTCAACCTTTTAACTGTGTAGTTAGTTAATCCTCGTTCGGCCTGTCTTCATTATCTCAGGAGAAGGAATAGATTATCATACCTCCAGACTATTTTAGGTTAAGATAAAATAAACTTTATAGTTGAGAGGAAATCTGACAATCCTCTTCTATGCAATATTGTTTTTAAAGAAAACCTATGAGAAATACACAGATTATACCAGAATGAAAAACTCAAATATCATCATTGGAAACACTTGTTCATGATTATTTTGTTTGTATGTATTTGATAMATTTGCTGATATACTTCATCCAGAGTTTTTTTCTTTTGTTTTTTTGGGGGAAGTGAGAAATCCTTAGAAGTCAACAACTTTAATCAACACAGCAGACAAGTCCTTCAACTTGTCAAGCTGAAGGGAGAGCAGCTGCACCCGAGTCACTGTTCTGAGATCAGGTATCTTGCACACACTACAMACGTGTGCAGTGTGCAAACTGTTCTCATCCATCACAAMATTACTTGAGAGGCATCAGCATCTGGTGAACAAGCAAATGACAMGTTCTGACCAAAATGTAGATAGAAAAGTGTTCAGTTGTGTAAACAGCCAGCAGGTGTCAAGGGAGAGTGGGTGAGGGGGAGGCTGGTGACCAGAGCACAGAGATAGAAGTCAGCAGTTTAGCTGTGAACCAGCGATGCAATGTGATGTTCAGGCTGTTTGTCAGTTGATAAATGCTACAACTCCTCAGAGACCAGGCACTCTCACTGTGCTGAGATGTGCACTGGCTGCAGACCT